AGAAGAAGAGACTAAAAATGAGTGAACTCTACATAATAGGTCTTTTTTTTAAACTGGTTGTTTCTACTTTTTGTCCTGAACCTCCCTGTTTCTGCAGTCCTAATAGTTAAGCCCCTGTCAGACATGAAGGCACACTCTTGATTGCTTTCCCTCTAGATAAGTAGTAGGGCCGATTTTTCTTTTGTGTTCAATCTGTTTATTGGTTTTCCAGGGAAATGGAAGAATATTACACGGTACGGAATACGATGATAAACTGAATGTAAGCAATCATCATGGCATGAAAGACTTGGTAGCTGAGCCAACTGTGCAAATCCAACGGTGATTGGGGAATACCAGTGGTACTGTGCTTGAGAATCAGGATCTCCGAGAAATAACTGAATTGGATAAGTTGTTTGAAGAGGTGAAAAACAAGTCTGCCCTTCCTCTGCAATCATACCCTGAAAGGCAAAGGTGTCCACCACGTATACTGACCTATGAAACCTTGGGAGAACTCTCCGTTTTGATCCGAGCCCTTAAAGTAAAAGGTGTTCAGACAGCAGAACAACCCCGTTTCCATTGTCGGGGCTTCTGGAGACTTTCGGAGCATGGTTATACAGTTAACATTCAAAATGTTCATTGGAGACGCATTGTCTCCTACTTAGGAATGCACAGAATTGTGTTAAGTGCTCATGGGAGTATGTTGACGCGCTTGTGCGGGAAGATAATATGAATTCTAATTCTAATTTCGGACCTCATGGACATCAGGCTCGAGGTCCAGGTATTCATGGTTCTGTTTGACGTACCTGGCTTCGAACCCGCCAGGGCACTGGGCCTGTCTCTGTTGTGGGAGCTCTGTGGCCGAACAGGGGGCTGTGCTGCGCGTTTGTACTGAAACCAGTCGTGTCGTTGGGCTCGGGGGGAGGCTTGTGAGGAAGCTTGTGGGGGGCACCGTGTGCAGCTAGGAGGACATGCTTCGGGGACCCACAGCCATCTTCTGTCTCTCTGCAGTCGTGGAGCTCTGCTGTGCAAGAACGTGGCATGTAACTGGCGTTGGTCCCCGGCACGGCTCCCCGCTGGGTGTGAGAGAACCCCTTTGCTGCTCTCCCACGTTCTTTAAGCACCGAAATGGAGTCGGCTGATATCGGGGTGTTTGTTTTTGGACCAGCTGCGGTGTCCTCTGTGTGGTGTTCAGATCCAGTTGGGGGCAAATCGCCGGACTTTAGAGCTAAAAAAGGTTATGTTAAACATGTACAGTGTAATAGTGCTACACGTTTGTCCGGACTTTGTGCATTTAGGGGGTGTCTTAGAGGCAAGGTGGGTGTGGCAGCCCTGCCACCTCGCAAATCTTGGGTCCTGCTTCTGATTCCAGGCTGGGGCTCCGTCTGTGTGGAGTTTGCATGGTGCTCGCAGTTGTGTGGGTGCTCCAGAGTCCTCTCGTCTCCCAAAGGAGACCCGCCCTCCCTCGTAAATCTGCCAGGGTAGCACCTAAGAATTGAAGAAAGAGGAACGCCGAGTTGACAGTTGTCCTTCTCCGCGCGGAAAGCTTTGCCCCGTTCGCAGGCCGCCGTCTGGGAGGCGCCACGGCGCCGGCGGCGTTTCGCACCCGTCAGCAGGAGGACGGGGGAGAAAGAAGAAGGAAACCTGGCCTGTTCCCCCACCCCCACCCCCGAAAACGGGGCCTTCTTCACTTTCACTACCGCAGCGCGGGTGGGGCTCACATCCGCACTGCCGCCAGGGTCCAGAAAAGACGCCCAGGAGGAAGTGGGCAAGAGAAACTCCTGGGGTCCCTCTGTCTGCTCTCCAGTAACACCCCGTCCTTCACGGTTTTTCACGCCCATTTCTCGGAAGCCTGTGGCGCGGACTTGCTTTAGAAAGTTCCCGAGCTGGTTTTGAGCGTGTTGCAGTAATTCCCAGCTAGTTTCCTTACTCTTCTGAAAGGAGTGTCGCTTTCTGCACAGCGAGTCATTTAGGAGCTTTAATTGCATTGTGTATTGCAAAGGCTTTTATTTTTTTTAACCTCACTTCTGTGGCATGGAAGATCTCCCTCTTTAGGCTGCCAAAGGAACACTGTGCATTTTGTTCGACTTCTTGCTCCAGAGGTGAAAGGTCATAGGATTATTTCCCCGCGTTTCCAGCGGTAACCCTTTTGTTTGTCTTCCCTGCTCCAGGTGGAGGAGTGATTTCGTTATGACAAGCTGCTGTGCAGAAGATGTCCGCACTGTCTGCGACTAATATCGCTGATGTTGGTCACGGTAAGGAAGAGAGACTATTCGTTTTTGTGGGACACAAATCTTTGGGGGTGACCGCCTGATTCTGTGCCCACTGGGATACAGACTGCCTTTAAATCAAAAGACTTTGATTTGTATACTCGTGAGTCGAACTTTTGCTGGGATGATAAAGTCCTGTGCACAGTAAATGAGTAAAGTCAGCTGTCCTATGTTCCTGGCAGCGATCAGACCTTGTGAACAACTATTATCGATGTGCCTGAAATCGCTCTTAAGGGGGAGTTTTCACCCTGTCCAAAAGATGTTGTAAAATTTTCAGCTGTCCCTGTGAGCACAGAGTCAAGAGCTCACGCTCCATGAATCCGCCCCTGGCATTCCTGCCATAGGATCTCACTGCTGATCGGGTCATGATGGAAAGAGCGAGGCTGAGATTTGTTGGGGTTTTTTCCCCCAAATCGCGCAGGCGCCTTCAAGAATTAAATGTTTCGGTTAAGCCGTACCCCGCTGGTCCAGGTGATGCTGATGATGATGCCGATAGGTTACGGGAATAGATCAGGATCTCTGCCATTCGCAAATTGCAAAGCTGGTGTGCGACGTTGGGTGGAAAGCAGCTGATCCAGATGTACTGTAGCACGTTGAAGGGCTTGGAGCAGAGAGAGGAACAGTCTGGCGCTGTGAACCGAGCATGCACCAGACATCGGCCTCCTGGGACCGACTGGGCTCTCTTCAGCCTCCGTGGGGGACAGGACAAACGTTCATGTTTCCAGATGGTCCAGATTTCCGATCGGCTTGAGAGCTCGGGGGAGAAGCCGCGGGGGTGGAGGGTGTTTGGAGAGCCGAGCAGCAGGAATGTTCAACTCTCCTGGCCTAGCCTGGAGCCTAATTACATAACGGATTTACACTGGATTTAAATCAGTTCCCAAGATCCCCACTGAACCCAAGTCCACAGGGCCTTTATGCAGTTTCATCCCCAGTAACCACATCCACAGACTTTTCTTTTTCAAGATTTCCTCTCTGCCTGCTCTCCCTTTCCTCCTGCGTAAGAATCCCGAGTGGACTATCGGCACTGCAGCAAAGTTTTTTCGTGAGGCTGAATTTGTAGGTGAAGCGGAGCCGGGACAGACTAAATCAAGGGTTTAATTTTTCTTTCCAACATAGAATTAATACCGTCCCAGCTTGTCAGGCATGCTAAAGACCAAAGTTTCACGTTTACATTGTACTTATTGGTGCTTGGCCAATGATAATGCGTGCATCGACTGGCCGGTTAGGAATGTGGACTCCTGAGATTGTTATAAGAACAGTCAATCAGCCAGTGACCCTGAATAAACAGTAGGGGGAATGGTGTTTAAAATCCATTGCGATAACAAGAGTACAAGACCAGCGATTTCTTAGCATCGGTCAGTGTTGGGTTGTGTTTGTAACCAGGAAGATTCGGTCTCCATCAGTAGGCGGTGACCTTTTTTTTTAAATCAATAAAGCAAAACCCCCCTTTCTCTGTACCCTTCGCTCATGCAGAGAAGTTCTAAGCCATCGGAAGCTCAACTGCCCACGGTTCGCAGAGAGGAAGAGCAGCCCCACCCACTCACATGTTACAGAATGATGTGGCGCGCTTAGAACGTGTTCCTAGCAAATCCTCAGTGTGACATCCTGAAAGAGAATAATAATAATAATAATAATAACTCCTTACACTTATATAGCGCTTTTCTGGACACTCCACTCAAAGCGCTTTACAGGTAATGGGGACTCCCCTCCACCCCCACCAGTGTGCAGCCCCACCTGGATGATGCTCCAGTCCTCTCACACACACCAGCTCTCAGTGGGGAGGAGAGCAGAGTGATGAAGCCAGTTCAGAGATGGGGAGTATTAGGAGGCCATGATTGGTCAGGGCCAATGGGAAATCTGGCCAGGACGCTGGGGTTACACCCCTACTCTTTTCGAGAAACGCCCTGGGATTTTTAATGACCACAGAGAGTCGGGACCTCGGTTTTACGTCTCATCCGAAGAAACGCAGGTCCTCTCCCTGGGATCCGGAAGAGGGCGGGGCAGGTGGGGCGCGAGTCTCTCGCTCGTGTCGCTACCAGACCTCGGTCCTGTGTTGCAGCAGGGTGGGTGGTGTGTGGGGGGTGGGCGGTGTGGTAGTACTGTGCTCCTTTGGTGTGGAGTTTGCATGTTGTCGCCGTGCTCACGTGGAGTGCTCAGCAGCGTGGAGTGCCGGCGCCTTGGCGTCTGTGTGGCTCTGTTGGCCTCTACGTGTGGAGCTCCAGCCTGGCCAGTCTCACTGCCTTGCCCCTCCCCACCTCCCAGATCGCCCCACACTTTCCCCAGTCTGGGGAGCTGGTCCCAGCGCTGGGCCGCTCCCGCCTCGCGGGCCTGTGGCTCTCCGTCGCCATGGCGGCCAGGCCAGGCCGGCAGCGCGTGAGAAAAGCCCCTTTGTTTCGGCCAAAGCGGGAATCTGGGATACTTTCCTCCTGTTCTGGGACAACCGGAAGGGCAAAGCGTCACTCTCAGTAGTAACCAATACAAACTGCATTTTACGATGGGGGAGAGTTTTGTTTTCCTTACTTTGACTTTTTTCTACTTTTCTTGTGGCAAACGGCGGCTGTGGTTAGTCTAGAGCTCCCAAGTCTCGGATGTGAAGCGCTATGAGGACTCACTCACTCGTGTTTTCTCCACTTCTTGTTCTGCCCTTGCGTCACAGTATGGTATTTGCGTATTTATTTTAAACGCGTTCCCTTTTTTGTGCGGTTAAAGGGTTTAGTGAATTTAGCTTGGACACGGGTGGTGTTTCACAGGCTCTAGACGTTCATTTTCTCAACAGGCTTTTAGCCCAACAGGCCTGTCTTCCCCCATAGTGTTTCTCTGCTGCTGATTCGCGTGTTTAACAAGTGGGCACAATCCAATTCCCACTCTCCACGCCTAAACGCATTGCGTTGTGGAAGCAGTGAGGTTATAGGAAGCTGTAATGAGGTTTATCATCCTCTCACGCAGTCAGTTTCTTACTGGCATGGCACAGCGTACTGTACCCTGAGGGCCCATTCACACACAAGGCCACAGAAACTGGAGCTAAAAGAGAGCGAACTAATAAAAAAACAGATGTTCAGGAGGTACGATGCCCCCAGAGGAGTCCCAGTCGTGTTTTCTCACAAACATAAATTACAACAGCTGCTGTTTTTTTTTAAAATTCGAGATGCCCCGTGTTTCGACTTAATTTCTGTCTTCTCAATTCACTGTGCTTGCCGTGTGGTTTAAAAGTCAATTCTTCTGATATTCGCAGAGCTCAGTCCCTCCATCCGAGGCTTCTGCTATTAAAACATTATATTTCTATAAGAATGCTTTATTTCATGGTACCTGCAGAAACACCAGGCCGCCCAAAACAATCCCACCTGATTTCGCCTGCCTTCAGTCATTTGAATAAAATGTACTTTTTGTTAAAGGTGAGGTGCTCCTTCAAGCCTTTCACTAGAAAATAAAGTTTGCAGGGGGGTCAGTTTTTAGTCTGTGCAACCAGAACTTTACAAAAAAATGTACCTGCGGAAAAATTTTCAGTTTGCTTGGAGTCAATGAGTCAGCGCACCAGGTACTGTCAGGTACAGATCTGGCAAAGTCTGTGATAGTGCCCGGCTGATTGAGTATTATCACATTACTAATTGGAGTAAAAAAAAAAACCCACAGTGCTGCTTAACTTGAAAGTGACTCATTCCTGTGCCTTGTTTGACATGAAAAGCTCGTAAGGAAAAGGCGTTGTCTGCGGGCAGGAATTCTGGGAGGTCTCGGAAGCGGTACCCTTGACTGCTGAACTAGAAGATACGCTGTTGCTGTGCGCGATGGTAAAAACCTTCACTGGGCATCTGCTCTGGTCTCGAGGGATTTGGTCTGCACCTCCAGGCTTTCTCTAGAGCCCTCTGGAGCAAAGGTTCATTCACCTGAGCAGGTCCTTGCAGTAAAAATTCCTGGCTGTTCTTAGGGACAGCATACTTTAGATAAAGCCATATCCTTATTGATGTGAAGGCAAGCCTAGCTAGGTTACAAGCTGGATTGGTAGGGGGCACAGCAGGAAGAGGGAGCGTGTGGGTTGTAAAGGGCTGTCAGTCCATGATGACAGCAAACAGACGCGACCTTTCCTCTACTGCCCTGATCTTTCCCCTACTGCCCTGCTATTCGGAGGACTGCAAAGGACTGTGGACCTGCTCAGACCTTCCCACACTGCAGAAATGTCAGACTTAAGATGGAAGAGCGCTAGAATTGTGACTTAATTAGATATGCATAAGTATTGTACGTTTGTTGTATAAGATTTTGAGATGAGTTCTGCTCCAGCAGTCCCTATCATTCTGCATTTTCAAACTCCAGGTGGACAGTACACTGGGCTGACACTGGTTATCCTTTAGATAACAGTTTAAGAAACATGCGTGGCAGTTTGTACCAGGTTGAATAAATTCTTCTTATTCGTAAAGGTTTGGAATAGTCCTTTGTGGACAGGCACCTGTAGTTGTTCACAGTCGGGTTCACTGGTTTAACTGAGTGGCTAGCAATGAAGGTAAACGAAACTCCAGCAATAAAGTATTTTACGTGTCAACCAGCACGGTCCTTGAATTGCCTCGCTGACCTCTTGTCCTTGCTTGGCGCTGTCGCCACCTGGTGGCGGACAGGAGCGACTGCACTTTGGCAGCAAGAGCGGTCGATGTGGTCGGACACCCACGGCGCCACATGCTGCCAAGTTTGTTGTGCATCAACACAAGCTTAACCGCTTCCTGTTCTGAGAGTTTAGGCTGGACGGGGGTTTCTTGTCTTTCTGTGGCTTGCACCTGTGAGAGCAAGGAAAATTCCCCTCTTAAAACGGGAAACTTTTTTTTTTTGGTCCTGACATTTAAGCCTGGGCACTGCTGAGGGCTCGTTCACAAAGCTGCGTTTGTTCTTGAAATGTCCGATCGCTGCGCCGGCCTAAGGGGAACCCCCCCCCCCCCCTGCACTGGCTGCCCCTTGCGGGGCGCGTAGTTTGGACAAAGGAGGAGAGGGGAGGGCTGACATGAGGTAAGCGAACATTTTGCAATGTGTGAGAGAGCGTGGGACTGGCTGGGGACGCTGTCGGGATCAGCGAAAGACCGCGCGCAGTGCTCCTCCAGCTGGTGTTCCCAAGGGCTGTAGACGGGTTCGGCCCAGGGGGGCAGCTTTGCCCTCGGTAGTCAAAGAAGGACGCGGGATCACAGCGGGGAAATCGAAGGGGAATGCGTTGAGTACAGAGAGCAAGAGATTGACTCCGAAGAGCCCACCCACACGGCGGAAGCCGGTTCCCTGGCCGCTCCCAGGAAGTGGCTGGATGAGACCCTCCTGTCGTTTGATTTACTAACCACTGAAGGAGCAAGAGGCATCCGAGTGGCTTCCTCGCGTTGGTAACCAGCCCGTCTGTTTATCCTGTGACGGGGGCCTGTCAGGTACCTGGAACAGCTTTGGATCGGGATTCCCAGCCACAAGCTTGAGGCCCAAACCTCCTGGGCGCCATTAAGTCACGGCTGACCGATCATTTTAGATTCGAGCAAGGTGGGCCGAACTGCCCCCCCGTCTCCTGCAGCCCGTTCTCGCCATCGAAAGCGCAGCACGAGTTAGCGGAGGGGGTGGGAGGGGTAGCTGGCTTGTCCTGAGCCTGAGCTCCTGAGCCGAGACCCCAGCGTGCCAGCGTTGGGCTTCTCTGCCCCCGGATGGGCCAGAGGAGGGGGGGACCAGGGCCTGCTGGCCTGTGGGGCTCTGCTCAGAGCTGCTCTCACTGACCTTTTCCCCAGTGCTGTCTAGGAGCTTCTGTGAAAGGAGCTGCATGTGACTGTGAGTCAGCACTGAGGAGGCCTGCCTTGGCCCGGAGTCAGTAAACAGCCAAGAGGGTTAGGGGGTGCTTTGTTTCGGTTGTTTCTTTGCTCACATGAGGTTAAACGCCATACCCAAGCGCTGTTTTCTCTCGAAGGATGTCTCTCTTCCTCTGTGGTTCGCTCT